ATCTGTCCTTCATGTGTCTCCAGCATTTGTATCTTTTCCAAGGAGCAAAAATTTAACGTACATCTAAATAAAAAATTAAATTTTAAAACAATTGCTCTTGCTAAGTTTTAATAGCAATGTCTTTATCAATTTTATTAATAACAAATTTTCAAATAGAATAAAGTTGAAATAAATAAGAATATAAAATTTTACAAAACAATTTTGTACGCTTATTTAAAATTGAACTTTCTCCTCTAAGAAGATCGCGAGTTTTCTTACATTTTAGACAATACACAATTGTTATCTTTAATTTCTTTAAAATTTAGATTAGTTGTAAATTCTCAAAAAAAAAAATACAAAATACTAATAGTGTTATTAATCAATATTTATTGTAAATTTTGAAGTTGAATCACACTTAATTTGACTAATTTAAATAAATCTAATATCAGAAGAAGCAGATAATTTAAGCTAACGATCAATGATGAGTGGATTTGAGGTGAAAGGTTAAATTGTATTTTTCATTAATTTTTTATGACATTGTTGAACTGTTTTGTTTCAAAAAAGTAATAATCTAGAACAATTACTGTATTAATTACAGCGATAAAGAGATTATGCAACCGACTAACTTAATATTTTCCTAAATAAACTCACGTTTTATACACCAATACAATCGGCGAATCAATAAAATTCTATTTGGCACTTGAAAATGAACTTGCCCTCCATCACACAGTTGAATTGAACAACTGTGTATTGGATCCTGTTTTTTTTTTTGGTTTACAGAAAATAATTTTTTTTTTCTACAGATTACCACGACAGCCTATTGGCCTAGTCGCCGGAGCCACCCACTCACCACCTATGTGTGGGGGTGTATGACCGCACCTAATTCCAAACTCATTGATATCATACCTAATCATATCATATGGGCACAGTGTAAGTATCTCCAGTGAAACACCTTGCCATTTAAGTTGACATTCTCTGCACCACTGGTGCATCGGGTTCACTCACCACTGTGCAGCCTTTCCCGAAGAAGACTCCATTCTTCAGGACGTCCACTGTTAGCCGGTTGAGCCGGCGCTCTATGCCAAAGCATCAGATTAAGGCTAATTAGCATCCTCGGAGAAGCTTAATTTTTCAGGGACCACTCCTCGCCAGTAAGGCTGGTGATCCCTACCTATAGCCCTAACACCCTAACACTGTTTCGCATTCGTTTATAAGATATGAATCGAATCCTCGACCCTTAGAACAGAGTTGTATCAGTAACAAACATGCTTACTACTGAGCCAACGCCACTCGCAGAAAGAAATTTAATCTATAGTATACAATTGATCGTCGCCAACCTATCACGATTACACTAATAAAAAAGTGATATGGCAAAACTTACGAGTTTTTTGAAAAAAATTTAATTAAACTGCGTAAACCATATTAAAAACTTATGATTTCCTTATGTCACGGTCATGTATTCGCCCTATCGTTGGCCTAAATTATTAAGTTAGCTAAAATCTTTGGTACTGGTACTAGTAATTGTATCGTTGTTATCTCATATAAAATTGCAACAATAAGTTGTCAAAGTAAATATGTTGGCCATCGTTATTCCCATCTACCGTAATTACTTTAAGCATGAATAAATAAGCAGATTGTTGACTGCGTGTTACTTCTCAACGTAAGGCCTCTCTCTTATAAGTTTTAAAAGCCTATAAAAACACATTACAAGGAGAAAAGTTTCTCTCTTTCACGCCTGACATCTGTCCTCCAAAGTATTAGTCAACTCTTGAATACCGTGTCCTACGAGTTTATTATAAGCAAAAGACATTAAAGGTTTACCGCGTTGACTGATGTAACTCAGGAGTATTTTACGGCTATCAGTACAATAGTTTTGGACTACGCTAAAAAGCAAGAAACAGTAAGAGGGAACCCCCGAAAGTGGTTACGGCAACAGCAACCGAACAGAAACAGCAAAATCTTATTTATCCCTCCACAAATATCGATTTCTGTCATTTCAGGGATTACTTGAAGGACTGCATGGAGCATAAGTGATATCGAAGCAGCAACATAACCAGTGATGGTTGCAAGTTAACTTATAACAATACAAATAAACAGCAACAGGCGTTTTAGTAGTAGAACAACCAAAAAGAGACTGGAAAACGCTATTGTACATTTCAAGCAAATAAATTTGACTTTAATAAATTGTTTAACTTTAATTACTCAAAGAATATAATAATTGAATTCGGTTATGCAATTAAGATCTTTTGTATTGTATAAATAATAAGTTATTCACACACAAAATAGAAAAGAGCAAGATAGTTCCTAGGGCTAAAGCTAGAAGACCTATGAACGACATTTTATGCAAATAGTTAGGATTGAACTTATAACAAGTGCAGTAATAATATTGTGAAATGAGCTAAACAAATTATAAAAACTTATAAGTGGTATTAAATGCCGATTAAAGTGCATCCAGAAATGCTAGAATATGCACGGAATGCTTGCGATGAATATTATTCGATCCATCACCAAAGCTTTGTTAGTAAAGATTATCGTCAAAAAAGAATACAGGATAATTTCAAAAGAATTTTAGTAGCTACTGACTGATACATCTTTAGTTGCTTAAAATTTCTAGTTTAGCATTAGTATGTTTATTTTTTGTTATTAAATTTTTTAAATTCTGACAGCTCGTTCGTTATCACTAATCACGAAAATCCCTTATATGAAATTAAAAATTTATGACGGGGTTGTTTTTGTTCCTTGGTTTGAGAGAACCAAAAATTAACTTGATGTCAATTTTAATGCCTAAAGCTTGTTATTAATAACACGTGTATGTATGTTTTTTTCAATCATTATTTATTTAAGAGAGGAAGATAGAAAGACAGAAAAGTATAACCAGTGAGACGAGTTAAGAGAAGAGCGAAAGTGAAAAGTGAGAATGAAAAGTAAAGATATTTAAAGAACTCTAAGTGATAATCTCGAAAAATTAAAGCCATAAGACGGCATTTACTGGTGGTATGACCTTAATGTTGTTAATTTCCTGCACAATACGTAGTTTTGTAAAATTATAATATCCCTTTTAATACTTTATCCCCATTTGTTTAATTGACACAATACCTCTTTAAATAGTGAGACACAACGCCCTCATAATTACACTGGTCGCTTAATTGTACAATACAGCTGACTTCATCATAATAAAGTAGTATCTCTATTGTCATGTTTTTCTTTCTCTAGCAATTTTTTCTGGTATCAGCAGCACATATTTTAAAAGAATTAAATTAGATACTAAATCTAACCTGCGATATTTATCTTAATACAGGATTACTAAAAAAATACCTACATACGTTTTTATTTAAATTTGAAATCAGCGAAGCAATCAAATAAAAATCCTCGCCTTAGTCAAAAATCAAGCTCGGAATGTATGGTGGGGATAAGTTTACCAATTTTATTAGACCAACAAGATTACTTGTTTTTAAAGCCATAATATGTGCTGTATCATGAGGGTATCGTGAGGGACATATTTTTCTCTATTTTTCTTTACTCATTTTGAAATATACCACAATGTGTCAGCAAGTGTTAATTTAAATCCAAAATATAAAAGTATGAAAGCATCCTAATAAAAAAATGTTTTACATGAAGATACGTCTTATGAGAGAGTTTGCGGCTGTGTTGAGTAAATAACCTAATTAAAACAGTGAGTAAGATTTTTATCTTGAAAAGCCTAATAGTTTTGTGGAATCAAAACAAGGAAAACAAAGTAGAGAATATTAGAAAACATTAAATGCAAAGAAAATTAATGTTTACCAGATTTAAGAAAGTTGCAAAAATCCGAGTTTTTAGTAATTTATTCCAAATAATGAAAAAACCAAAAAGAAAAAATATTGAACTTTGTTCCAAAGACAAAACGAAAAAGTATTCATACGAGAAACAACTATAAAACTAAGTCATAGATTTAAAGGTTAATAAATATTATGGAAACAACTCGTAAATAATTTCAAATAGAATTATGATGTAAAAAATGCTTGCTATAAGACATTTGTTTCTATGCTTAAATACCATTAAAATATGTAACTACTTGAAGATTAAGTTTAGGATCATTTGATTTTATAGATGATTTCCAAAGAAACTTTGGACTTATTTTTTGCATCGAATTATTAAAGGGATTGGGTGTTTTTTATGAATTTACTCAAACAGATTCATATTCGTTGATTTCATCAAAATTTAAAATTGATTGTAAATTCTTCCAAAGAAAGAAAAAAATACGAATATTTTTTTTTAATACTACTTATGACTTAAAATTTTAAAGTTCACATACATAAAATTAAATAAACTTTTCATTAGAGGAAATAAATATCATTATTGGTGCTCTCCAGTTAAGCCGACGATTGAAAACTATAATGGTGAAATTATAAAAGTTGTATCAGATGTTTATTTAAGTATTTTATATTGTTTCTTTTTTTTTTCAACAAAGCAATAATCCATAAAAATCGCTATGCCAATTGCAGGAGCTCCTAGATTATTTGACAAACAAATCGAACATTAAAAAAAAAATGTCTTATTAACTGAATCGGTGACTTCATTTTACACCGGGTAACGAGCCTGCACCCTAACAGATACTTAATCTCAAGAACTGTAAATTGGGCCCTAGTTCGTTTTGTTTCCCCGTAAATTCTATTATTTAATCGATAGTCGCCTGTATACCACGATTATATCAACTGAAGAGGGGCATTGCAATATAGTAAGAGCTTTAATGGATAACAAACGTTCAAGTTTCATAACATCTGCAACAACGCAATGGTCGGCTCTACGTTCCTGACAAATAGATCGTATAACAATCAGTAAAAATATCAGTTAGCATTATTAAAGAAAGTACTTTGTAACTATAAAATAAAGTATAATTCTTTTATATAGAGAGTTAGAAGTATTGACAAATGATAATGCAATACATTTGTTTAAAATATAAGTTAAGTTTCACTATAACAGTTTTTTAACTAAAATAATCATAAGTTAAGATTAGGAGATATAGATTTCATGCAACTCACCGAAACGCTTGAATAATCAACAGCTGATTCATTGCAGTTCCCACAAGGGAACAAGGTTTTTCTTCATCCCAAAGTTTGGGTACACAAGTTTCTGGCGTAGGTGATTGCAACCAAGTATTGAATTCTGTACTATTTTGTATCATGTCGTTAAGTTTTCTGAAAGCTGGCAATCTCGTACTTAAATGTATAGCAGCTTCTTGCTGTTCGAAACTAATATTAGATAATGGAGGAACACGAAGATTAGGTACACCCTCTTTTCCTCGCAGAAAAAAGTTAAACTCATTATCATACGTGGTTTCAGATGTGATACCTTTAAGATGTATCCGGCATAATAGTAAAGTAAACGTTAGTCTGTCGTTATGTAACATCCCTCGAGCAACTCTTTCATAACAAACGGAAAATAAATCATTAGTAATGAAAGATAAGCGTTGAACATAATCAGTTATACCTGATAATTTCGAATTTTTTGTTAAGACAGAAGTAAATATGTCAAGAAACATTTTTAATGAATATTGATACAAGAAGTGAATTTGATTTAAACTATCCATGGTAAAGTATATATTTGAACAAGCTTGAGAGAGGGGCAGATATTGTTGAGAAACAGTTTCGATCTCTGCTATTACTTTATCTGTCTCTTCTACTTTCCTACTGATATCAGCAGCTTCTCTTTTAAGCGTTTCAAGTGTTGTTATAACTGAATCATCATCTAGTATCTTACCTTTAGCATCGTTAAGCGCTTGTAATAATGACTTTTCTAACTGCCTCAATCTTAAATGGAATTCCCCTTGCAGTTTAAGCAAATCAGAACGTTTTTCATCAATATCAGGTCTTTCAGCTTTTAAAACTTGATTTAAACACTGACTTTGTAAAGAACTACGCGTGACAGTAAAATTAACAAATGTTACTCTTGAACATATATCAGGTGGAAATTCCACGGTTGGATCTCTCGTAGACAAAAATATTACAAAAGATGGTGAAAGATCAATGTCCTGATCACCTAGAGTTATTAATACTCTGCCGCCAGTACGTCTCAATTCTCTATTCAGAACAGGATTTAATATTGGATCATAGTTTTCAACGTCTTGCACAAGCAAAGGATTACCGAACCTCAACGCACTTTCTAAATTTTTCCTAAACGAGTCATCAAGGAAGCTTGTTTTAGTTATTTTTCGACCTTTATATTCATTTATCAGAAACTCTGTAGCTTGTCCAGATGGATCGATGATAAGAGGATATCTATTAAATCGCTTTAACATTATTGCATTTTCAGTGCACAATTCATCTGCAGGTAAAGCATTAGCTTGCCATCTTAAACGCTCATCTGGATTCGATAAGTATTCTGTTCTAGCAATATCTGGACGAAATTGGAGATGAGCACTGTGTAAATGCTGACACCATGTTGTAAATAAGTTCTGTCGATACTAGAAAAAGAAGAATTAATTAAAAAACAGCAATATAAGAAATAAATAGGTATTTATGACACGTAATAGGTAAAATTTAAATATAATGCAAAACTCGATATCTACATTTGCTTCCTTTTTTGGAGATGAAGTTATGCAATAAACAAAAAATTCTTTTCTGACATGATATGCATAAACAATTTTTACCATGCGGTAAATAATTATACTTTTGTAAATAACAGTCTATGTGCATGTCTGTGTATAAGTGTTTTATGTCCATCTTTACGTATGTATTAAAAGAATTGTTAACATATTTAAATTTTATAAGAAAAATTAGATTTGTTTTTAAGATAAATATTTATATGAAAAAACTTTTTTGCTAACATTTAAACAATAGTGGAACTGAATTTCATTTTTTAAGACGTGAAAGGGAGCTTTTTGCTTCTTCCAAGAACAGACAAAAGTAGAATCTAGGAACGTCACAATGTAAGGACGTTGTCTCCACCGTGCAATATACATAACTCTTCTATGTACGCGTCCACGTAAGTGTCTATATGAATCTGTAGATGTTCAAGTTTGAGTAAGCACGAAACTCTAGTACAAATGTTTTATGGGTCGACGTAAGTGTTACTATTAACGAATATGTTTATAAATGGGTACTAAGTTCATTCTAATAAGTTACTGCACGAGTTTGTTAGTTGTTTTTTTGCTGTTTAACTATTTGTAACATCACAAAATGAAGTTTTGTATCAAAAAATTTTTTTAAGGTTGAGTTAAATTATTTATAAAAAAAAACATTTTATTTCATAATGTAGTAACTAGTTTAAAGAAATCTTTTAACGTAGTGCGCAATTGTCAATTGAACTAAATAGTTACAAAATGGATTATTTTATAAACGGACAATCCGATTGACCAAATTTTATTCCATTAGAGTTTGAGTAATGCAAAAAAAGATATACCCTGTAAACACTGTAACATAACACTATAATCTCGAAATTAGAGGTAAGCAGCTGAATTTATTCCAATTGTACCTTCCTTTAATATTACTCTCGCATTGTAGGAAATTTTACTTAGAAAAATTGTAGTGTGAGGCTTCTAAAAGATCAAGTAAGTAATACTGCTTCCATTCTTTATATATAATACATCCAACCTTATTTTTCAAACAGCAAGGGAAATTTTCACGTATATCGTAGATAAAAATGAAACCAGACTTTTTTAATTCAAGATGACAGATTCAAAATAGTGAAAAAAAGTATTCAAAATGACTCGTGGTTGATTTCACATAAAATGTATTCAATTATCTAACTTCAAGCATTAAAAGCAATTTCAGCGATCAGATTTTTTTTGTAGACAAGCTCCTTAAACGAGAAATTCCACCAAGTATCCGTATCAAGTGCTCTCAACTGGATAACTTGAAAAAAACCGTGTAAGAAACGATTAACCTCTAATCTAGTGTTATTAGATTGCTTATAGATAAGCTAATTAATGGTTTGATTATGTTACGAGTTTAATCGGGTTATCTAATCAAGAGTATTTATAACTTTCAGAGAGCTTAGAGCAATAGCACCTACTCACGGTAAAAAATTTAAGAGCTTGCATCACTCCCAGTATCCTGAGCTAGACAATTTAACAACTCTAAAGTTTTTTAAATATTTTGTATGTTACTTAACACCAAAACACATTAGATTGTACTAGTAAATCTTTGTTTCGAATCTTCATTTATTTGTTGGAAAACCTTTTTCGTAATATCTGCGATGATAAGTAACGTTTGATATCAATGATTGTGTTATGAACTTTTATCCCAACTACCACACTATCAATGGATAGTGTGTGGATAGTACTAAGAACTTTACATTTTTAAAACTCATAGTTGCTTCTAAACAAAGAATCTAGCTGTTAAAATAAAAAAAAATAAAAAAAAAAAAGTTTGTAAGTGTTGCAAAATACAGACAACATAAAAACGAATTTATATTTTTGTATATTCGGAATAAACAGCAGATCTATTAAAATTGTAACGTAGCTCTAATATGACATTTCAGACATGATTAATCACAAAATAAAATTGTTAATCTGTAGTGAATTATAAAATACAACTAAAAAAATTGCTGACATCGAAAAAAAAAGATAGTTTTTCTAAAATGTTAGTCTAAATATTTCAAAATAATTTAAAATTTAAGAAACTCAATAAAAATTGATAAAAATGACAGCAATTAAGAAAAATTCTACAAATAGTATAATAAAAATTATTTCCTTGGAAAAAAAAGAAATATAGTTTTTGAAATTCATATTAATTGAAATAGGAATAACTATTACTTTAAAAATGTGAAACCAAATACACGTGTACCTTAAAAAATTTTTTCAAGAAACTGCACAGATGTTATAAAAGATGATTGATAAGTTTTTAAAAAAAAAGCAGCTTGATGTAACATTAACGATTTTATTTCAAAACCTTACACATGATTTCAACGTTTACAAAATATGTAAGGTTACACAGTTTAAAAGAAAAAAAAAACTGAAAGAAATTTTCAAAGTCTGTTGCGGTAACCTGCAGAAAAAAAACGAAACTGACAGAAAAAATTTAAATATAGTAGTAGTTATACACAGCATATTTAATATTCTCCATCCTGACGTGAACAAAAAATGTATGTTTACATTTACATTCAATATGTATTATAATATTAATATAACACATCCAATGACAGTTGGTTAATAATTAAAATAACGTCCAATGGTGGTACTATCAAATTTTGTGTTTATTAAAAACGAAACGACGTTTCGGCCGTTTGGACAATGTCCTGGCCTTCATCAGGTACAAAAATCTCTGACTCTTAAGAAGGGGATTCGTAATCATTGTCTGGGACATTGTCCAAACGGCTGAAACATCGTTTTGTTTTTTAATAAATACAAAATTTGACTTTACCACCATTGGACGTTATTTTAATAATGTATTATAATATTTTTAATAATGGTTCTGGAATAATGGGAAAAACATTTTTATGTGAAACAATAATTTGCAAAAATAACGGTTATAGCTTAGTTCATTAGGAACCAGTTAAAGATGTATCTGGGTAAAATTTATTATGAAGTTTTACGGCTGGCTTTGCATCTTAGGGTGACCCACGGGTAGGCTCTATGGCTAACTTTGAAGCGGAGGGTCAGGACCAGTTTGGAAAGTCAGATGAAGGTAAAAAGAGAAGTTTGAAAGGGTTAGTTGGGAAAGTTTGTCATGAGGTAAGGGGTTACTAGGCTGATCTTACGATCAACTTAAAATGTATAGAAAGTAGAAAAATACGATAAATACTAAAAAAATTAAAGAAATGAGCTACTAAAATTCGGAAGATCTGTGCCAGTGGTTAATTTAGATGGTCATTGGCTTGTCATTTTATATGAGTAGAAAACAAAGTAAGTAAAAAAAGCAAGAACGAGATGAATATGCGCATTAATATCTAGAGGTATATTACTTCATCAAGCTCTGACTCACACCCTCTTGATTTGGTGTATGAGCACATTAGGATTAGGTAATGCCTTTAAAATCATGCATGGTATAACCGTCAACTTCTACGGATGTCATGGTTAAAATTGAATATTCTTTTGTGGGTAGTTAGCTATCATACTAGTTAATACGATTTTTATGTAATTTTGATTTTTAATACAGGTAACATCCAGAAGCAACTTATTTTCATGTATTTTTGTATCTGTTGTGTGGATACAATGATTTTTCAGACCCTCAATACGTGATGCACAAAAAATTTTTGTGAATAACGTTGCAATAATATGGTTTGAAATAGGAAATAATTTTATAATAAGCAATTTTCAAGTACGCATAAAATTTCTTCTGAACATATTTCATTTGTGTGACATTTCTCTAAAATGTTTTTTATATTTTCTACTTCGAGAACCGGAACATTTGAAAAAGGGTTTTTGATATCAAATAAAGTTAAATACGTTTTCATTGTCTGCTTTAGTTACAACAACACATTTGATCCAATTGTATTATGAATGCCTTGAGCAATGTCTGAATAATTGTTTCTCACGTTATTTTGAATTCCACAAGTTAAAATAAATTTTTTTTTTGTGATTTGGATGAAACTAATGGAAATAGATTTTTCGTCAAAATAGAGAGCTTCAAATTTAACAGCTAATTGGTCTTTTATTCTGTTCATACTTTTATAATTGTAGTTAAAATTAAATACTTTCTTAAGTAGATAAATCTCTTTTTTTTAAGAATAATATTTTCAATTTATTAAGAAATCAATCTTAAAATTTATAATGTAAATATTCATTTGTATCATTATTTATTCAATATGCTTATGTTTTTTAGTGTATTTCTATTTGTTAACTTTGTTTCTTTTTTTTTCAGTTTTTATAAGACTTTAAATAATAGAGTTCATTTTGTGACAGTAATTTTGCATGGCGCTGCCATGACCCTACTTTAAACTACACAAGCTACGAATGCGCGCCTACTACATTGTGATCATCCTGGACCAGGAGAGGTTTATATTTTATCGCATCTTAGTACTTATCTTCCAAATATACGTATACACACTGCTGCACACACAAAATCCCACGCTATGCTACTCTAATGACCCTCTCTCTTTCTACGTACTCTATTTTCTCTCTCTTTCTCTCTGTATGGTGTATGCTCACGTGTGCACAGCGTCCTCTGTAGGTTGAGACACAAGGCTCATTTTCTCTCGAGTACTATCAAGGCGAGACTAGCGAGTGCCTTGGTGATGCCTCACTTCGGTTACGCCTGCTTGGTATATGCTGGGTTATCGGGTTATCTGTCTTTAAATCTGGACTGCTTTTGTAATACAGTGATTAGATATATATTCAACCTCAGGAGAGATACAGCCATGTTACCTTATTACAAGAGGCTTGGGAAGTTGCGTCCCAGTTGTAGGAGAGATTATTTTCTAGGGGTAACTATCTATAAAATTCTTAATACAAAGAAGCCTCAGTTCCTATTTGAATTGTTCCCATCCCCAGCGGATGATGTACAGAGATCTGCGCGTCTATTG